GGCTACTCTTTATCCCCAGAAGCCAAGGGTGATCCGTGGAGCTATTTTACCACGAAAATGCCAGGATACTGCCAGGATGTGGATGTCATAATGTCAGGGTATTGATGCTGTCAAGCCAGCTGCCAGTGTGAAGCGTTTGCAAGTGAAGCCTGATTCAGGGGGACTCCGGGGCCTTGAGGCTCATACACTAGGCAACTCCAGATGTAGTCATGGTAAACCAGATATTCCAAGATCCCCCTGCTAACCGGGAGTCCGACAGCGCTTTGGCAGAATTATTGTCGGGAAAGCACACTTGCAGACCAGTCATCCTTACTTGGTATGAGGTGGATGCTGTTTGTGTTAGTTTCCTTCATCATGCCTTCCATCATTGCAAAAACTGAATGTTTAATCTTGGCACAGGGGCCTTCTAATCTTGCTGGCTCAGGGGCCCCAGCAAGCGCCATGCCCCCTGCATGTTTCTTCCTAAATCCTTTGGTACAGGAGGTACACACAAACACACACGGACGCCGCAAAAAAGGGGATGGCAGACGCGACAAGCAAGTCAGGAAGCAAGTCAGGCCACACTCAAACGCCAAGCTGCTCGGATCTGAAAAGGGCTCCTCTTTGCCAGACTTGAACGCTGCGCATCAGCGCTTCTTGAGATCATAGCTTTCTACGACATGTGTTATGGAGTCGCCTGTCCTGCATGTGCTTTCCGCACGTGTTCCAAAAAGAAGAAAAAGACAATTTCTGCTTGCACACAGCAATGTTCGTCGCCGTGTTATGCCTCTGCTTGCACACAGTCATGACCGCTGTACAGTTTTCGAAGTTGATGGACTGAGGTTGATCTGCGTGGTCTGCATAGGTTTGACGGCTTGCGGGCTGATTTCTTCAAGCACGCGTGTCAACGCGATCGCTGCCACCATCGCTTTCTTTGTCGTGGGTTTCTTCTTTAGCGTCCCTCGGCCCCGATGCGAAAACTCAGAGAGACTCCTTCTCAAGTGACTCAAGTGTGCATCTGCAGCATCATAGGTATATAGCTCCATACCTGCCTGCTGCAAGGTATTTCTCTCCCCGGCAATAGCCAGGTTCAACTTGTGGTCGCTGTTGCAGACGTCGCTATCATTATCGACGAGTGCCTCAGATGCCAGACAGTCTAAGAGGCAGAGATGCATCAAGCCAGATGTCAGCATATCTGCACATGTGCCTAGCTGCCGAGGTGGCGCAGCATTCTACTTCATGACCGATACTGAAGAGCAATACAAAGAGGCCTGCAGAGCCAATAGCCGACGACAGAAAGGCTTATGTTTGATTTGACGACGCAGGGCCCTCATTTCACGCCTCTTTACTACAACTCGGTGATTGGAACGGCTGCTTGCCTTTTTCGGCTCTATCCTCGAAAAGCAACCCCCTCCCTAAGAACCTCGACCGTCGGTACAATTTCTGCAGCCGAGGTTGGGGCAGTCATGTCCTTGGTATCTTGGCCATGAGTAACAGCCAGAGATGTAGTCAATAGAATCTTGAATACCTTGCAGTGACATGCGGTGACCGTCAAATGCTATACTGCGTCTGAACCTGGAACACAGAAAGCGATGTGGCAGCAAGTCTAGACTGCAACGACAGCCTGACCCTTGAGGTGGGCGTCGCGACTTTCCAGCGCTATTTCAGCACCTACCGATACAGGATGCTTGGCAATGCCTCTACTGTTTATAGGGGGCCTGTGGCGCCTGAGATGATATGCATCTGGCAGCTCAGGAACCTGCTGCTTGTCACCAACATTGCCTTCTGCCTCATGAATGCCCTGGACACTGTCTTGCCACCCGGATTCCCCACACTCTTCGAGGGACCCGAAGAGCCATGACACACTTCACAACCCAGGTTCAAGCGCTTGAACGTTAGCATGGGCATCCCGGACCATGCTTTTGTGCTGGGACTCTTGCCTGCATGTCTTCGGGGTTGTCCGCGCCCGAAGTTTCAGATCTTAGCACATAGGAGTCATAGGAGAGTTGGGAGCGAGTGGGATTGCTTGAAACGCTTGGAATTGAAGGGTCGTCAAGTATTTTGCGAGAAGGTACATAGCATGCCGCTGAGATTTATCCACGCAGACCAGCAGTGAATCGGTACTTTAATCTGTCTCAGGTACCAGCTGCATGCAGAACGTCCTTATGCAGTGGCAGTGGATGCCTCAAGTTATCATCCTTTCCTATTTCTGCCCACGGGGCATGGAGGCCACAATGTATGCTCTCCTGGCGGGGTGCCACAATCTGGGCAATACGATTGCCAGCTGTTGGGGAGCCCTTCTTCTGGAAATGTTGGATGTCAATCCGACAGGGGGCGTCGGCGAGTCTGCTCAGTTTGAGAACCTTTGGAAAGCTTCTCTGCTTGCTTCACTGATGCCGATCATCACGGTGGTGGCGCTGTTTCAGTTCATCCCTGATGTCAAGCAGGGCGATCCTGTTGTGGACCCTAACGCCGAAGCTACGCAAGGCTCCTTATGGAGGCAATACTGGGACGCGTGAGATTGATGAAGCCGGCGCCAAGGAAAAGAACCATGGATGTTTCGGATGTCATTCCATGCCTTACTGTCTTTTTTCGTGTGCCTTGCAGAGGTCCTTGTGTGTCTTGTGGTTTCCTGTGGCGGAACTCTGGTCTCCTGGTCTTGTGGTCCTCCAGGCCGTGGTCCCTGCTCCTTTGGTGCTCCAGTCCTGTGGTCCTTCCCTTTACGAGTAACTTGCAGAGTCATGTTTCCTAACTAGTCACAAAGCCAGGAACAATGAACAACAACCAGCATGTCTTAGCCTACGAACCAATCAGATGTGCCGCAGGTTAAGGCTGTTGCAAGAACCGCCGGACGTGCTACAAAGCAAGGCACTTGGAGCCAGACAGCAAGCAAGACATGCTGCAACAATGCCTAATCCTGCACAAGAGGCAACAGGAAATGAGCTAAATCACCACTTTCGTAACTAGAAATTTAAATGCATAGAAATGCTGAAAATCACAGAATGTGATGCTTAAAAAACCCAGAAACCGTGCAAGCTACAGCTACTGGAGCCAACTAAGGAAGAAAACGGCACCCTATTAACTTCGCCCAGAAACACACCTCCCTGCTTTAAGCGCCGGAATCTGCCGAACCCTGGAGCAGTCCTTGTGTCCACAGGACACTCCCGTGACCAGATTGGAGGACCTGCTGGGCTTTGTTTTTCAGAGTTGAGCATCAAGCATGTCGGCAAAAGACAACAGGACTCTCGCCCGAAGCATCCGATCTCATGCCCGACTTGTTAGCTCGTCGGTCTGGTCAGGACGACGAGGCGGAAGGTGAAGATGCTGGGGTCCCGGTACAAGTGCATTCAAGCGAGGCCTTGCCCCTGGCCGAGTTCGGTGGCCTTGTGCGTGAAGCTGTTTAGAGGCAAGCTCTGGAGGGTCGCTTGCCCGGTGAGGGCCTTCAAAGGCCTGGGCCTTCAAAGCCATGCCCGAGTTCTTCCCGGCCTTCCGGCCGGAGAAGCGGAAAAAGCCCATTCTGTTCAAGAATGCCCGGATTTATGACGGCCTGTCAGAGGGGCTAACTCAACCTCAAGACGTATTAGTGGTGGGGAACCTGATCCAAGACGTCGGAGAAGGAATCAGTGCAGAAAACTGGGGTGCAGTCACCGTTGACTGCTCCGATCACACACTAATGCCTGGGTTGATTGACATGCACAGTCACCTGGCAATACAAGAAGGGATGCTTGAGGGCCGTGATCAGTTTGATCAAATGGCCATGGGTGCTATGTGTGGACAAGACTGTATCGACTATTTGCTTCAAGGTTTCACTACATGCCGTGATGCCGGTGGAAATGTGTTGGGTATGGCCAGGGCCATCAATGGCGGTCGGATCCCTGGTCCTCGCATTTTTGCTTGTGGGGCTTTCCTGAGTCAGACAGGCGGGCATGGCGACACTGGCTGCTGCTTTGACCAGCCTGGCGATGCTGACGCGCTGGAGCGTTCCGGCTTCTCCCATATTGTTGATGGACGTCCCGAAATGCTAAAGGCTGCCCGGAACAATCTGCGAAACGGGGCTACACAGTTGAAAATCATGGCCGGCGGAGGGTGTGCCAGTGCCTTTGACCCCATCCATGTCACACAGTTTACAGAAGATGAGATGCGCGCTGCCGTTGATGTAGCCCGGGACTACGGAACATATGTTATGGCTCATGCCTACCACGATTCTTCAATCAACAGGTGCCTGGATGCCGGTGTGCGCTGCATCGAGCATGGCTTCCTCATGTCTGAGTCCACGATGAAGCGCATCGCCGACGAAGGTGCTGCGATGTGCCTCCAGTCATGTATGTCTCTGGAAGCATTTGCTGAGCCAGAGAAGATTACATTCTTTTCGAAAGACCAAAAGAAGAAGGCAGCAAAAGTGGCTTCGGGGGCAAAGCAAATGATGGAGTTTGTGCGAAAGTACAAGCCGCTGACAATCTCGGGTGGCGACATGTTTGGTGCCTCTGCCCAGCACCGGCAGGCGGACAACGTGATCACCCTCGTAACGCTGGGCGGTTTTTCTGCAGCCGAGGCCCTTCGCAGTGCCACCGGAGATGCAGGGAAGGTCCTGGCATGGAGTGGAGGCATGAACCCTTACAAGGATGGTCCTTTAGGCATAGTCGCCAAAGGAGCATATGCAGACATCATCATAGTAGACGGCAGCCCGCTGGACGACATCACCTGCCTCAGACGCGATCACGTTCGGGTCGTGGTGAAAGATGGCATTTGCTACAAATATACCCTGTCGCCGGGGCGAGCAGATCTTGACGCGCTGACCCCCTCTGTGCTCTCCTCGGGGAGTGGTATTTGAAGCTTACTATACCCGCGGCGTGCAACTGCGCAGGCTGTGAAGTTCTGGTGACGGTTGCGCTGCTAAGTCTTGCACATGACGCTACAGCGACATAGTCGGGCCTTGTTTGGAGACCATAAGTGTCGAACCAGGTGACCAAGTACATCGCCTGCGAAACCAGATAAATAATTGTGTGAAGTATTCGGGTGTGATGCAGCACGTGGTTCAATATTGGTGCCCACAGTTCGAAACTTTGTCCTCCGAGGAAATCGTCCTTCGACTTCAGTTTGGTTTCACTTCCGTGAAGCAGGAGGAGGTGTGATTGGATGCCCGCAGGTCTCCAGTACTTCTAAAACAAAGTGACGAGAGGAGTCGGACGAAGATTCCAATCAGCAGATCTCAGCTGACAAGGCAAGACGGATGGCATCTGTCTCCACACCTTGCAACCACTGCTGCACTGCCACAGAAGCAGGTACGCACGTCTTCGTCGTCAAGCGCGAAGGACTTGCCTCAGATGTTCAAAGCGCAGCAGGAACAGTGCTCAGCTCAGTCGGGTCAGGCTCTTTGCGCACTGTCAGCTGGCTTTGCAAATTCTCGTGTCCTCTCAATTTTCTCATGGGGTCAGGTCTGAAGAGCAAAGCCTTCCCGACGAAGCCGAGAGTGAGGAGCTGTCGCTACAGGCGAAATCTTGTTCTGATCAGCAGCCATATCTTACCCTATCTAGCGCAACCTCCGCTCAATCCCGCTCTCAGCTCAGTGGCAGCACAACCTCATGCTGACGTTGCACTGGATTTCGGCTCTGAGCAAGTGATTGGGGCGTATCCAAGCAGACACCCTTCTGCTTACCGTGCACTCCCTTCGTAAATTCTGCCGGCAACGAAGCCGAGGATTGGCTGCAGCCCCTCAGCAGTTCTTGTGCTTCGGCTGGCTTTTGCGTCTACCTTTGAAGAGTAGACGGAGGCAGCGAGTGAAAAACACCGCACTCGCTTTTCATGGCGATCTTCCTGGCATTCCTGTTTTCGGTGGTGGCCATCACTCAGTTCACAACCGCTGACAAGTCTACCCGTCACAGTGGGCTGAAAACGCCGCCGGTGGCACTGCCATTGCTGCAAGAAGCTTCGGATGAATGGCTGCTGCAAGAGGAGGCTGGTCAAGACCCTGCAGAAGTCGCTGGCATCTCTGATGTCTCCTGCGACACGCCGACGCAGAGCTTCACGATTCCCAGCCTCACCGAGCTGCCGACTCCCCTGCCGGATCTGCTCGTCGTGCTGGTGGCCTTCGCATGCTTCGGAATCTCCTGCCGACTGCGCAGCATCCTACATGCCATTGCTCGAAAGGAGCCACGTCATCCCCAGGTTCCAGTGGAAAGCACTGATGCCTTCGGCTGCACAAAGCTCCATGTGGCAGCACATGCAGGCTTGCTAGAGGAGGTCCAGAGCTTGCTGAAGGGCGGCTCTAATCCGAATGCCCAAGAGGCGTGGGATGAGACTCCACTTCACATGGCTTCCCGGGCTGGACACTTGCAAATCGCAACCCTCCTCGTCGCTCACGGTGCAGACATCAACATGCGCAATGCAGATGACGAAACCCCCTTGGTGGTTGCTGCGAATGCAGGTAAGCGTGAAGTCTGCTCCTATCTGCTTGAGATGGGAGCTGGCACAGGAGGTTTGGAGGAGGAAAGGCTGCCCTGCCTTCTGAACAGCCTGCTCATGCTCGGTTCTTAATTTGGCTTCGTAAGCTTCGCGCTAATGAACGAGTTTTGGATTGCTGCGGCCATGAACTTGGAGCTACCTCTGTGTGCAAAGCTCTACTGCTGAGGCAGCGAATGTTCATGACAGATGCGGACAGCAAGCTCAAGGCCTTGCAGCATCCGTCGTCGGCATAACTTGTAACGTTTCTCTTTCTGGCATGGGTCCGCGTTGAGTCGTCATGACATCGTAGGCTCCTCCGACAGCAGCCAAAACGACTGCGTGCAGGCTGGCACGTCTCTTTGCTTTCAGGATGAGTGTCTGCTCATGTTCACATACAGTGACACATGTCGGAGCGTGACGATGGTTACACTACATTGCCTCGTGCATGGTATGTATGTGTATTTTGGCATATATGATCACAGGCTTACATACTCCCGCAACGTCGTAAAATGCACGTATAAGAGTGTGTATCAGTGTGTATATATGCAGGCATGCATTCATCCGCTTGACTCGTGGCTACTCTAACACGCGTTCTTACAATCATTCCAGGCAGGCATCACAGCGTAGAGGCGTATATATGTGTGGGTCATTGCTTGTGCATCTGCTGTATTTCACTAAGTACCCATAGGCTCCTAAGTAGTTCCTTTTTGGGGCTTACATTTAGAATCCTATAGTCCTATAAGGTAATCCCCAAAATGGAACTACTAAGGAGCCTATGGGTAATGTCATCCTGGGAGGTGAAGACTTCACGTGTACCGCGGTGATGTAGCTCGTTGCCCTATGGTCTTGGGCTCAGTGTCGGGGTTTCGAAGTTCTGCATCCTTTTAAAGGGGGCGGAAAGCGACAACCAATCCTCTTATCTCCTCCGTTATGACTCACCGCTGCTACTGCGATTGCGTTTACTGCAAGAGCCTGGCAGGCATTACAGGAATGTGAGCAAGCTTGAAAGTGGCATAATTCAAAGCCCGCTGCACTCGTCAGCAGGGATTGGAAATGACCCGAGAGAGCTTGTTCCTGTCTCACCGAAGTTTTGTGCCGACTTCACAGCTAGATTGCTGTAGGAAGATCAGGCCTACATCTACAGCCCTGTTCGCCCGAATTGATCTGAAGATCAGTATGACCGGACAGTTCTGCATGCTGTGAAGTGTTCTTTGAAAAGGCAAGCATGCTGAGATATGCCCCTCGCAATCCCAGACATGCCCCCGTCCGAGAGCATCAATCACGTTGCAAACCTTTCATGCCGCAACCGTCGTTTGCGACGCAGGCGAAAGCAGAGCTCGAAGAAGCGCAGAGATTATCCTACGAGCAAGCCACCTAGCCTTTGATTGGATCTCTGGGCTCCTCACAGACATGACACGTCCTCTTTCGATGTACCTACCTTACCTACCCTGACATTTGCAGACTAGTCCGGTAATTAGACCGAACACGATCAAGCACATAGACTTAGATGGTACATACAGTCAAGGCCGGGTACAACATGGTGCACACTTTCAGTGAGAATCGCAATGTCACGAGATTTTCTCCTCAAACTTGAAGGAGAGTTTCATGAATTCTCTGCTTTGCTGACCTGTTCAGGGCTATGCTTCGAAGGCTGTTGAAAGAAGAAACTGTGGTGCAAGGGAGGGGCGCGTGATGCTCATGATGATGGCTTTGATGTGCCGAACTTGGGCCTCTATCATGTCGCCTCGGCTCGCACCCTTCTGCCAAGACTGCTGTAGGAGGATTGGTCCCCGCCCTCCCCTGGGTGCAAGTTGTTGAAGAAAGCGGACTGCAACATGGGGAGGTCCAGAAAGGGGGAGCCGGCATACACTGAACCAGTGACTTTCCTGCTCTCCTATGCAGGGATGGCCACTTCGTTCAACGGGCTGCCAGGTTCCGGAATCCAAGACTGGAAGCGATCATGCCGGCCGAGGAAGTTTGCTCGGAACCTGCGAGTCTACGAGTACTGTACAGTCACCTGAAACCTGGTGGTTCGGTCTCCGTAAATCTGTAAACAGCAGAGGTCAAGAGCACAAGAGCAGTTCGGTTGTGTTATTCGTGAAGCGAACACATATGCACCAATGATACCTATGCATGCATGTATGTGATTGTCACAGACTCGCGCACAGGTACACCTTGAGCGATGTCGCGGAAGACAGTATCATTTCGGGATACTGAAACCCGCATCATTGCTTCTGATCCCGCCTTCGGGCCCGTCAAACACCAGCGGAATTTGAACTATTGGTGGCCGGAGGATATCCGTGGCCTGAATAGTTCTCGGGAGAGACGGCGATTTTTGCTCGACGATGTTGATGCGAAGACTTTGGGAAATGATGCTTGTGTTCTGGAGCTTTCGGTCTCAAAGCGAAGTGCATGTGAAATTTTCCCCACTGCTGCGAAGTCTGTCAAGAGGATTCGGAGACTCATGCTTGACTCCGGTTGCGGTATTGACCTGATTGGTCTGGGGGGTCTATCTCACGATGAAAGACAAATGATCGTGCAAAATGGCAAGACCAACACTCGAGGCCTCGCTCGTGTGCGTGTTTCGGCCATCGATGAGTTGATTGCAGCCTACGTGCTCCAAAGTGCTCGATACCGTCCAAAAAAACTATTCTGGTCTACTTTGCGACATACGTGCACGGCGGTTTGCAGAGCCTTTTGCATATGATCCAGCATATGACATATGGGACACAAGCCTTGGGCTCTGGATGTGCATGAGCATTTTCCATGGATCCTACCTGCTTAGAATCTCAGTTTGTTGCTTGGAGGAGCGTTTTGTGGGGAAATTCCTTTTTTACAAACTCAGTTTGCTCATGTCGAGCCATGGAGGGACGTTCTGTGTGGGACAAACGTATTTACAAACCTCGCCCTATAGGGAAAAAACTTTTTCCGGCGGGCGATCCGTGATCAGAAATCTTGCCCCGAAACTCTGAAATTTTCAAGGCTCGCGCCTGAAAAATGTTTTTCCCTTTAGAGTGAGGTTTGCAAACAGTTTGTAAATAGGGAAAATGCAGCCAATTGAGTTTGTAAATAGGAATTTCCCACACAGAACGCTCCTCCGTGGCTCGACATGAGGTTTGTAAATAGGCATTTCCAACAGAAAAAACACCTGCGTAGCCCAAAATGAGGTTTGCAAAGAGTCAGGGCCTCAACCCCGCAGGAAACGATCGTCATGCCCTGACACGAGGACAGAAAAGCTGGCTTTACAAGGTGTTTTGTGTGGAAATTCAGCTTGCTGCTTGGAGGAACATTTTGTGTGCGCAATTCCTATTTACAAACCTCATGTCGAGCCGTGGAGGAGCATGTGTGCTTGTATTTGGCCGTTGTTCCCCGCTGTTGGCCAGAAGCTAAAAGAGCTGAGTAAACCTAAAATGGAAGTATGCATCCCCACTGCATGTAAGTATACATATATTTCCATATGCAGAGGTCAGACGAACTGTGTACCTTGCCCAGTGCGTAGCTGCTACATGGGCTCACCCGCTTGTTGCACTACGGGAACATATCCCATAGTTACGTGTTGGTACATGGCTCGTTAATCTCTACCTGCGCGCCTTTCTTACCCGAAATGCCTTTTGGATCTCGGAATGTTCTGGGGCCCAGGGCCAAAGAGTCCGAACGCCGGAGAAGAGAAGAGGAAGACCAAGACCTCCTGAAGCAGGGGTCCAGCTGGCACACTTGAGAGATCATATGGGGGATGAAGAATTGTTGTAAGAATTCTGCATACGGCAGGAGCATCGAGCCGCTTGAGAATCTAGACGAGGTGGGCAGCCTGCAGCTTCTAGGTTTTGGTTGGGGTTAGGATATGACTTTGCTGCAGAATTCTGTATTGATCCACAACAACGAATTTCCTGCTGGGGGCTTCCCTTGCCGCCGCATCGCCGTCAACAGTGCTTCCTCGCCGCAGCCAAAATAGGGTTGAACTGGCCACGCGGATCGAACGTGTGGCGGGCAATTTCGGATCTTTACAAGATGATTCGATACATATGTGTATATATGTACATGTGTATAGACTTGTGTGTCTTGTAATATAACAGTAGTGGAATAGGGTGCTTTCTCTTATCTTCTCATTTCATGGAGTTGAGGCGTTAGCACCAAAGCTAATTTCTGGAAGCCGGATGTTGTGGCGGGTTTGGAAAATCCGATGAGTTTCGGTACATGATTGAGACGACGTGCGAAAGTACCGGGCCCATAGATGAATGCTTTGTCATCATGTTTGCATATTTCTCTAGCATGTCTGAGACATTGTAGAAGTGAGCTTGCAGATCGAGACAAGTTCAAGTTGTGACAAAGTTGAGTCTTATTAGCAAGTTTGGACATGCTGCACATGCCTGTGTGATCCCGGATGCGTCGACAGCTCATCTTTCCAAATCGATGATACATGCTCGGGAAGGGCAGGACGCGAACATGCCTTGCACCACAGCTGCCATCACGTTGAATGTGCTGGCGGGTCTTGCAGAACACTGCTGTTCTTTGCTTTTTCTGGCGGCTAGCTGCCCACGCATCACTCCCTTTTCAGTCCGCCAGCGGCCAGCACGTTTCAAAAGAGCACTACCTGGGCTGTTTGTGGAACTTTCGTGCACAAATCACACTGTGTCCGGGCAGTGTCGATGGCTCCTCTCAAAGGGGTAATCGCTACAGCAATGTCACTAGCAAGAAGGCATTGAACTCGCCCGAAGATCAGTTGTTGACAGGCATCCAGTGCTTTCAAGCCTTGATTCTGGCGCACGAGCTGCAGGAGAAGTTCCTCAGTTTCTACACTGGCGTACCAAGGCAAACCCATGCACCACCAATTGAAGAAGTTATGTGGATCACATCCTTAACCGACACGGAGCAGGAGGAGATGCTGCAAGTTTGTCCTGGCATGTTGGTCACATCGTTTTTCCTTCATGCTGAACTCCGGTTCAGTCTGAACTCTCACGACCTTCTCGCGCAACACTACAGAGGCCGCGCCCTCCGAGTCTTGCGACAGCTGAAAGCGGGAAATGATACGTACGAGCTGGACCATTACCGAGTTATGATGCGGACATGGCCTGTGTCGGCAGCAAATGCTCAGTCGCTACAGGTGCGACGCATGAGTGGGCGTGAAACCTTAGCTGAGACGAGGCGTGTGGACATAGTCATTGTTGCGTGCAGGAGCGACCTAATTTGGGTGGATGCCATTCCTTCAATGCCCAGTCTGCGTATCTTGATTATCGCGAAATGTAGAGAAGCAGCTGAAAGCCCTCTATGCCAAAGATCAGATTGCATACCGGCTTGGCATATAGACGCGCAGGACCCTGTCGAAGGTGAAGTGCACAGCGACGAGTGTGGCGGATATGTGTACCATATACTTCGCCATTATCATGAACTTGCAGAGTGGACAATCTTTTTGCAAGATGATGCACCTCGCCACTTGCATCTAGGATACCTCAACCTGGTCCTGAAAATGATTTCGTCTGGTACCTTATCAGCATTAGCCCCCCGGCTCTTCTTGCACTTGAACAACGATCGGCATTTAATGTACTGGACCCCGTGCTTGGCACAGATCACGGAGTTCCTGGGGCTGCCCTCCAGCCGGCTCTTTTCATCCTACTGCTGTTCGCAGTTCCTTGTGCACAAAAGCCGAATTTTGGCACGCAGCTTGGAATTCTACCAGGCAGCCTTTGAGCTCCTAACCAAAAGGCTCCTGGGGGCACTGGATAAATGCTCACGCATTCCTCAGCTTGGGCCCCCGAAGCCGCCGTCCACTGGACAGCGATCCTTTCAAATAAGACCATGCCACCTCTACGCATCATGGCTACGGTAATTAGCACTGGCTTCAGTTTGTTCAGTGTACTTTGCGGCTCGGAGTCGCAAGTGTCATCGCAACCTTGCATGAGCAGCCGAGGAATTCCTGTGGCATGTTGTTTTTGGGTGCGATCCGGTTCTGCCGAGACGGGAAGATGACGAAAGCTTGCCCTCAAATCTTCGATTTACTTTGGACGACGACACGCTGCTTCCTCTGCCAGACTTCTCCATGATGCTGTACGCGCATGCACCGCGATGGCAAAGTCCTTTTCTGCAGCATGAAAATGCTTTAGAAACGGGGCGTGCTAGCCGCAACAGTCCAGCAACAGCCAAAGTCGCATCTTCTGATCCAGCGAAGATCTGTGTTTGCAGTGTGCAGGACCTAGTTCTTGCCATTGCCGAGCGAATGATGAGCTGGCTGGGTGCTGAGACCTGCGACGGCAGCGTGTCGTCTTGCCATGCCAATGTGTCTTGCCAGCAGGTTGGAAAGTACTCAGAACCGGCAGAGTCTCTTCAAGTACCTCAGCCTCAGCGCCAAGGCGACGCTGAGACGGAGAAATTCCATTGAAACTTCAATGGAGCTTTCCTGCAGGTGAAGGTCTGGTACAAGGAAAAGGCCCAGGCGCAAAAAGCAAAAAGGAAGCTGAAAGCCCTCAAAAAGCCCTGAAAAGCGAAGATCCCCCCTGGGAGGGAGCGGACCCCCGGGCTCCCTTTTGAGGCCTACTTCGAAGCGAAGCGGAGCTGCCTCGTCTCTCTGTGGCAACCTCAGCCACGCTCCGAAGTGAGCCGCGTAGCTCCGAAGCTTCCAGGCTGGAGCTGGGCGATGCCTCTGAGGCGCTGAGGGTTTAGGGCCGTTTAGGGTTTAGGGGGAAATCCGGAAAGTCCTGGGATTCTCACTTCTTCGGATCTTTGCAGGCTGTGGCCAAGTTCCTCGATGAGGAAACGGTCCGCCCAGACTCTTCACATGAAGCGATCCTCTCACGTGAGTTGTGAGGATGAGAACGGTCTCCCCTGTGCAGGCCGCAGTTGAAGCTGCCGTGTTTGAGATGCCTGCGAAGGCGTGATGAGTTTCTCGGGAGTTTGCAGAGGTATTTCAAGATCTCAGTGACTGCAGTTGCACTAGGCTCGTTTTGATTTTGATTCTTGATCGTTCTTTTGAACGGATTTTGTCCTTCCCAGGGAATGCACTGCCCCAAGCTCTTCGGCGTGGAGGGGGTTAGAGGTGCTCGGACTTCGACATGCTAAGCCGCTAAGCCACACCAGCTTGCATAGGGCTGGGCTATCCAGCACATGTCAAAAGCATCGCTTTTTGCCAGGCAATGTCGACGTGGATTGACTGCTTTTTTCCTCTTCTCACAGCGGAGTTGGAGTCGGCGCGTGCCTAGAACGCTCCCAGACCTGCGACCTGAAAGCAGGCCCAGGTGTTTCAAGCTACTCGTGTGGCAGTTTGCTTTAGCAGGGCAAAATTGTGAGAATGCTTCCATCTGATCTGTTGCCGCCTGCAGACGGCGATGTTTTACGATTCCGGCGGTCAGATTCCGCTGAACGGGCATATGAGAGTAGGCATTTGCGTCGGCTCTGCAACTATTTCAACTCGCGACTCGCGGTGTGACTCTGTATGATCTACTATCGAGGTGCCTGAGTCGTTTTTCTCCCAAGTTCATGTCGCGGTCCACAGAACCAGAATTCGTGTAGTCGTATAATTCGTCCGACTACAGCTTCAGGTCCTCACTGCCGCTTCCAGCCCTGAATCCTCGCGAAGCCATGGTGCGATCGAGGCTGACGCGCATTGCCCCGGTGGCCATGGCCGGCATCCTTTGCGGGAGGGCTTTCGTAGGCATGTTGCCGGCAACTCGATCCAGCCTCCTGCAGCGTTCTGCCGGCTCTTCAACCGACGGAGTTCTGTGGCATTCTATCGAAAGGATAAAGTCTTAAAGTAGTCGATGAATTTCGGATGGTTTTGTGCACATGGCTCTCTATGGCACTAACCCGAGGCAAAAGTCGCCTTCAAAGAGCTTTTCTACGATGACGATCGACCGATTGTCCTGTATGACGGTGCCTACACTCAGACATCAATGCAACCACTTGCTCTGACGACCTGGTGCTGAGGCGTTTGCAATATGTGCAACAGCGCGGTGGATGTGGCTTTGCAGAAGGACCTGATGCATCCCATATTCAAAAAGCGCGGTTGTAGAGTGGAACGTAGGATGCATGTGCTTTACTCTTCGGAATGAGACGGGGCCCGAGGTTGAGCAAGTTAATCACCATGTTGGCGCTAGATTCTTAACATGAAGTAAAGGTCCATGAGCGGCTCGATTCATCACGTAGTTGCATGACCCTGACGACTGCATGGTCTCAACTTGTGCAAAACCACGGCGCAAAGAAGAGTGTGGATGTGGCCACACCAACATACACGAACCGACTTGATGGCGGGTGGCTACACTGATACAATCGACACTGATAGAATCGAACCACAACATTTCGATGCTTCAACCGAAGAACACAATAGCAGACATGAGCTCCAAGCCGCGGGTGACGGTTGCCACGGTGCTGCCTTCATAACTCGGTGCATATTCCAACTCTCCTAATAATCCTACTAAGTTCCTGTCTAGACCCTTCATAAACTCAGTGCTGCAGCAGACTGCCGTGTTAGTGCGCGCTAGCGCACTTGTCCCATGCTTTATCACATTTTTCATTTGGTGACAGTACGGTTGAACCAACCTATCTTTTTCTCTTACAAACGAAGCGGGGCCTGAGTGCACACACCGTTTCGACCACGTTCAGACAAAGTCATTTAGACAGTAGCCGGGTCTGAGTGTTGTAGCTGGTTCGACCAAAGCACGTGCTTTGGTGCCTTTGATGCCCCCTCGGGATCCAGTATCCTTCGGTTCCCGCAGCAAAGTTCTTTTCTATGCACAGCATTATGGCACATTCAGGACCCTGACGGTCGCCGGCTGCGCTTCTCTGCATTGCAGTCAGAGGTCGGCAGGCAACTGCTGGTCTTCTGCGGCCGGCGAGCTGAGGAAAATTGGCTTAGGATGTGTCGTCACAAGTCACCCGGACCGGTATGTTCAACAAATTTTGTTAGCATTGCTCGTCGGGGCATCACGCATGGCGCTTGCAGACTTAATTAGTGGCTTCTGTGACCGAGATGTTCTTTCGGGCCTCACGCAGGATCTTAGCTCCATGCTGGTTGTGAAGCCTGATGGTGAATGTCTTTCTCAGTCAGATGCTGTTGTCTTTGTCGCTGCCTGAGCCAACATTCTGCAGGGTAGGTTTACCTCTTAAACAGCTGAGTGCTGACTGCAGGTAGGGCAGCAGCTGGAAGGCAGCAGCGTGCTGCAAGGCTTGAGCAAGGTCTCCCTTGCTTTGGCGGAGTGGCTCCCAACGGAGAGGGTTGTGTGCCGAACCGCCAGGCTGCACAGGCACTGGTACCCAAACCGCTACGAGACGGGGCATACAACGTCGTTGCCAAGGACGCCTCCCAACGCTCAAACACTTCTCTCGGTTCTTCAGTCTTCGAATTTGACTCTGCAGAACCGCTACCGTGTCCTCGGTCGGCGAACGGAGCTGAGGCTAAAACAGGACGCTGACGTCACCTTATGTTCTCCTCTGCGTAGTGTGATGAGTTGTCGACTAGCCACTAGCCTTGCTGAAGATCTTGGTGGGGTTTGGTGGGATGGGAGCACACGGATGGCCGTCAGGACGGAATGGAGGACAGATTTGTCAACAGGGAGTCCAAACCTGCTGTCGAGGGTGCCTGAGCATGCCCCAGATGAAACTTGAGCAGAGCTCATGACAAGGTCTACATTGTGTTACATTGTGCTAAGTGCGCACAGCGGCCGTTTCAGTACAGACACATTTTCGCCGCTCCGCTGGGCCTTCTACGCAAAAGCTGTCCAGGGCAGAGACGTCATGGCCACTGTTCGGCTGGCCCAGCTGTAGCGAAGGGAGGCTGCTGTACTCAGTATTTCTTGTCAGGCGCAAGATGTTGTCGCATTTGATAGGCGGAACACCTTGCAGCATGGCCACTGGGATCGAGAAGTAGACACCAAACACACCATGAGGATCTCAGCCGTCAGAATCGACTCACGACCCTGAAGCATTCCAGTGGCGAAGCATTCGAAAGCACCAGCACATCCGCTACACCAGTCCACAGCGCAGTTTGAATGAGAAGTTTGAAGCACTGCGAAGAACTTCACCTTGGCAAAGTCACAAAGGTAGCCATGGCTGCTATAGGCTGGGCCAGGAACCCAGACACCAGCCCCAGCATGCCAGTCGGAGCTTCCAGGTTGCGTGGCATGGTAGAGCCGATACAGCAACATGGCGAGAGGAGCTTCAAAGCAGAGAGGCCGACAGTTTGTCACATTCTGGAACTTTCCAGGAGCGCGAGCCCAGTCAAGGACAACCCGAGGGAACGTAGCCGCAGTCCAAAGCGGGACAGAGGCAACATGAAGCCTGGCACCACTGAAAACCTCACCGTGTCGGCTGCTGCGCTCTGTCAAAACGGAGGCGCCGACGTTCCGCGACAGGTGCGACCACCAGTGCGCGGTTGTCGCTTCTTGAATCCGTGTGAGCAGGTCTCGGTTTCCGTCACTGGGAATGGCCACTTGCTGGCAGAAGGAAATGCTTGCCATGCTTGTCAATGTGCTTCCGTGATCTAGTGTACGTAAGCTACTACACCAAAGATACGTTCGCAGCGGGCCAGAAGCTTTCTCCACCGACCAAGGAGTTGCCAGCCGCTCGAGCCCGACTCTGTCGCTGGAGCCGGTGCTTTGACCGCACTGCAGTTGCAGTGTATTCCGCCTGCTTCGTCAAGCCAGCTTTGCCCTCGAATTCGCGCCTGGAAAGCCCTTACACCCGAGAGCCCTAAACCTAAGCCCTCTGAGTTTTACGACCGTTTGCAGTATTGTTTCTACTGCTTACCATTACTACTACGTACTCTACCCCTACTACGACGACGACGACCACGACATTATACTACAACCGTCGCTACCAGTCCAGATGCTTCAACTTCAAAAGGCCAGTAACTCGGCAAGGCTGTGAGCTAGAAGATGGTGAAAGCTTGAAACAGTTATGTCATGTCTGTGTTTCAGTTTTACCCACCCCTGTCCCGCTGGAACTCTGACTGACGCAATGTTTATTGCTCCAGGGCGGGCAACTGAAGTACGGAAAACCCAGCAGCATCTCCTGGGCTTCACAAGAAGCACTCTAGAGACTTTCTCCGACCGGGCTTCCAGATCTACAACCTGCACCCCCATCACCCCCTTCACCTAAAGCTATGTTTTGCAACGCCCAGCCAGCCTGTGCCGCAAGGCCAAGATAACGGAGCAGGTCCGCAAGGCCAGGGCTGCATCAGGTCGCAGAGTAGAGTAGCTTTGGACATGCTGTCCAAAGGCAGTACGCGCCTAAGCACAGCAGGTCTTGGGCGAGGATTGCGACTCCTTGCCGGTGCACAGCCCAGCTGCCGTACTTTGCAATGCAGACCGTGAGCTTCCTCTGCCTTGCCGAGGTGATAGTCGGCATTGTGTGTGCCCAACTGGCTTCAAAGCAGGCCTTGGATATACAAACCGTGAGCCTTTGCCCCAGTCGACGTGGGCAACGATCAGCTGACTGCTTGCAGACACCACTCTCACTTCTCTTGCAGGAGCATAGGCTGCGCTATGCAGAGGGAGAGAGAGAGACATTGATTGCAACTCATACAAAATCGCTAAGAAGAGGTCCATCTGGCAGAACTGGCTCGCGAACTATTGAGTTTTATGTCCTCCTCGCGCCATGCACAGCCAGACACGCAAATGCTTCGTGGGCGTTGACATCGGCACAGGTAGCACTCGTGCAGGTGTTTTTGACTCGGAAGGCAAGCTGCTGGGAATGGCAACGTGTGGACTTTCCACTCGCCAGCCTTGTCCTGGTCATTTCGAGCAGAGCTCGCAGCAGATCTGGGAGGCATGTTGCCGCTCTGTTCGCGAAGCTCTCTCTGAAGCAGAAGCTGCAGGGAGGCTTCATGTTGAAGGAGTCTCCTTTGATGCAACCTGCTCCCTCGTCGTCGCGAATCTGGCTGTCGGAGCTGATTTGCCAGACGATCCAGACAAGCCTCACCGTGTAAGGGATCTGACGTATGATGTTATTCTGTGGTGCGACCATCGTGCCACGCAGGAAGCACAGATGATCAATGACGCTGGGCACCAGCTCCTGCAGTTTGTCGGTGGTCAGGTGTCACCAGAGATGGAAATGCCAAAGCTGGCATGGCTGAAACGCTTCAAGCCGAAGACCTTTGCGAGCGCCACCCGCTTCTACGATTTGGCGGACTATCTGCTTCACCGAGCTGCCGACTTCAGAAGCACACGGGGCAGCAGTGCAGGTGTGAGGAGTTTGTGCACCGTTGTTTGCAAGTGGAACTTTAACGCTGCAGAAAGAGGCTGGGATGCTGAATTCCTCCAGTCGGCTCAGTTGTCAGACTTACCTTTTTCGAAGATTGGCACGGCTGCCGACGTCCAGGACGTCGGCAGTGCCGTGTCAGGAGGGTTAGGAGAGAGGGCAGCACAGGAGCTCGGCCTGCCTGCAGGCACCGTACTTGGCGTGGGGGCCATTGACGCTCACGCTGGAGGCATTGGCTGTCTTGGCCTTGGAGCATCGACGGTACCCCTCGAAGCAAAGCTGGCTCTCATCGCGGGGACATCCGCCTGTCACATGGCATCAAGCTCTTTGGCCGTGAAAATCCCTGGCATTTGGGGCCCTTATGATTCTGCGATGATTCCAGGCCTTTTCCTGAACGAGGCGGGGCAGACTGCTGCAGGGGCAGCCTTGGATTTCGTCATCGAATCGCACGCTGCCTTTCCGGAGCTGCAAGCTGAAGCGACTGCAGCTTCCTGCAGCACTTATGAGATTTTGAACCGCCAGGTGAATAGCCTGGCGCAGCAGAAGGGGCTGCAGCATGCGTCGATCCTCTCACAAGGGTTGTTCGTCGGGCCTGACTTCAGCGGGAATCGATCGCCCCTCGCAGATCCCCACCTGAGAGGAAGCTTTCTTGGGCTTGGACCAGCCGGGGATCCAAAGCGAGCTGCGTCCCTCGAGGCACTGTCAGTTCTATATTTGGCCACGATACAAGCCCTCGCCTATTCGTCACGCTCGATCATCGAAGAGATGAACTCAGCTCGAGGGAAAGCTGGAGTTGCCAGTATTTCTGCAATCCATGTTTGCGGTGGGCTTGCCCAGAATGCCCTCTACATGCAGGAGCATGCTAACGTTCTCAACCTGCCGTTGCATTGCACGAAATGCCCCAGTGCCGATGTGATTCGTGGCAGTGCCATGCTGGCCGCCACTGCTGCTTCTGAATTTGATTCTGTTGCTGAAGCCATGTCGTCGATGCAACAGCCGGGGTTAACTGTTGAGCCGCAGCAAGATCCAAAGGTCCAACAATTTCACGGCGCTCGCTACCAGATCTTCTTAAGAATGCAACTCCATTTGCAAGAGTATCAATCTCTTGAGGCTGCGGCCCTGCAGTAGTCACGCAGGAAGACGAACCTGCAAGGAGGCAAAGGGATGCAGATCCGATCAGCTGCCCTGCCTTTTCCGATGTGGCAATGGCTTTGAATCGTTCTGACGGCCTGGGTACGGCCTCTCTCATGATCAACTTCAGCTGCGCATCATTCACCTGCCCCTTGGCCCGATGGGAGACAGCAGGGTTCACTTCCAGATGGAAGATCGGGGCGGCAAAAGGCTCCATCGAGTTGCTTCATCCCGGGAAGCCACATCTCGGTGTCGGATGCAAAGAAGACTGTCTCCCCATGTGCAGACGGAAGGTGATGGCTTGCGACAAACTATTGATGACACGCTCCGAGGCCTCAGGTTAAGAGGCGGCAAGGACAGCAGTCGCTCGCCTTCACCCTCCCTGGTGAAGGGGAAAGCATCCACCAGATTCCTGAGTTATTTGTGGAAAGTTGTGCTTTCTGCTTCGCGTGAACTTGCTGATACGAAAACCCTAACACAAGCCTCGCGTACAAGTCTGTGAGGCATCATGAAGACCGGTAGCTTGGACTCAATCACTTCACTTCGTCATTGAGTGATCTTCAGGCTTTGGATACTGGATATCTACTAATTATCATTCTTGCAGTGTCGCATGTGCAGAAAGCCTTGGCCAGGCTCTAGTAGGGCTATGGCAGGTGAAGCGAGTTGAAAAGTTGGTTACATCCTTCGGCGGCGCGGCTGCCGGGCTGAGGCCAGCAGATTGTACCTCACCTACCATCGGAGAAGCAAAGCCAGCTAAAGGACCGGGCTGTTGGCCAGGGGGCGGGGGTGTCCGTCTCACATGCAATTGTCATAATGCATCATAATGCTCTAATTCAACACCATCCGGCCAGGACTTACTCTCCTGGCTGGAAGAGGCAACGCTCGTCTCTTCCATGTGGCGCACACAGTTCGCTGCGACTTTTGCTTTGCCGCGCAGGCTTCAGAGGCAGCAAAGCTGGGAGCCAAGACTGGGATCTTGCTTCATCGGATAGGCAGGGGGTCGTACATAGGACCAGGTCATACGACGTGCGGCCTCTGCAGTTTGACTCGATGGCTAGAGGTCAGTGGAGCCACTCGAGCAATCTTTCTTGGATCCCAGGTCTGACCCAAGACTCAGCCAGGCTCCGAACAATTTTCAGGAGCCAAACAAGATCGATTCGCAGTTCGCCTGATACCTGATCCTGGCCTTGTGACCTTTGGCAGCTAGCACGTGTCACATGCAAGTACCAATGCAAACGCAGGAGGGCGATGCGGTCACTTTGCATGGCTTGGAAAAGAGGCATGTCAGCTGTTGCAAGAAGGGGCAGTTTGTCAGACCGGAAGAGCTCACGGCGATCCAGGCCTGACCTCAACGGTTGCACCGCAGAGGTGCTCAGAGTTGCAGATCCCTCACAGCCGAGCCCCTGGAGCCACACGGCAGACAGGAGACGCTGTCAGTGAGACATTCGGAAGGCCTGGACGAATCGTCCTGAAGCTGGAGAGCGGAAGCCTTCGCCTGAGACGGACTGGCGAAGCCTCGGTTGATGCGCCACAGGTCTACGTTGCCTGCACAGGTCAGATTGCAATCCGGCCCCAGAACCTTCAGCACGTGCAGCTTGAGGGCTCTGCGGAAGCAAGCGAGAAGCCATCCGATAGACAGGACGAGGCCGGCAGTCACTGGCCTCTGTGAGAGAGTCATGTCCAGAGTGTGAGCTTGAGGCTCCCACGCCGAAGAAGCCCCAGCCGAACTCTGGGAGCTCCAGCTATTCAGGCCCCAGAAGCAGTGATCTCTGCACATTCTGCACTTCACGAGTTCCTTGCTGTGCTCTACGGAGGCCCGGACCCGTCAGCCAGCAAAGTCTTCGGTTCGGCCTTCGAAAGGCTGAAGGCGAAGGCTGAGGCTCCGCTCTGAGCAGAATGCACACCGTCCCCACCCAGCCACGGGTGTTTCGAAAGTCTGGCTACTTGCGAGAGAGCAGATAGAAGCGTAGCACAAAGATGCAAAAAGCACCGGAAAGCGCCTTTCCTGATTATGCCCCGGTGCCGCCGATGCTCGGCAACCGAAGCCCACGTGAACCCACCCTACCCCCAGTCACCAGGCCGAGGCTCGGGGAGAGCTGCCCGCGCAGCGAGCTCAGAGCAAAGGGGGAGATCCACACCTGGCGTCGGCGTCGCCTCGCCTCCAGGGATCGGCGGAAGAAGGCAAAGACTGAGCTGGACACTCGCGGCGCAGCAGGGCTCCCAACCTGCCGATTCTCAGCTCTCAGTTTCGCCACACATTCTTGATGTCTGCGAGATTGGGAGCTCGCAACCAGCCGGCCAAGCCAGGCTTGCATCCACTTGGGATCTGCCTGGTGCTGAAGATTGCTGAAGTATTTTGAAAGGCGGGAGCTCATCATGGGCACAGAGCCCAAGGAATCTCAGACCGAGGCCTTGGAGGGAGATGATCTGACAGCACATTTAACGCGATGGCTGCCAGGTTGCAGAGGAGCCTCCAAAGCGTGAGCCCATCAATTTCGTGCCGGCAGAGGTGGGAAGTAAATTGAACGACAGCCACTCAAGCATCAGCTCAGACAGTCGCATCGAAGCTGGCTGTGAGTCGATCACGTTGAGCGTTGCCGGCGAGTGCTCGAGAGACGCAGTACACTTGCAATTACTTGCGCATACACAGGAGAAGACACTAATGCCCAGCCGCAAAGTGGCGCGAGCCTTAGCAGTCGTTGACAGAAAGGAGCGATCGATGGTGGTCATGAGACTGAGAAATGTTGGATGTGCTGAGACGGTAATCGATCCTCGCCGAAATGGGCGGCCCGCCGAAGATTCGGATGACGAGGCCAGAAGGACTTCAGAGGTATGCCTCCCCAGCCTCAAGTTGCCAGGAAGTGGGAACTCCTGGGGTTGTCCGACCTCGCAAATCGGTCCAGGACCCCTCCGAAATAAAAGAGCATGCCATCTCTCTCGATGCTTCTCAACCGATCAATCCTCTGCTTCCCACGCTACGTGAAGGACAATGGGTCATCCTGGCAAGGACGGAAAGGTTTTGTTTGTTGCATTGGGTGGTAGTTCGTGGGTTGAGACCAGAAGGATCCACGTCCTTCGACTCGCCTAAGCTGAAGGCGGGGTTGAAGAGATCCTAAGAGCAAAGCTGGATCCCTGTGGCAGTAACAGGCATGCAAGGATCCTGAGCCGGTCTGTAGGATGCCGAAGGCTAAGCTATACTAAGCCTTTCAGGCTTTTCAGAGCTGGCTCTTTGAGACTCTTCCGAGGCCTGCTGCCCCTGCGAGGGGTCTGGCGCGAACGCCATCTGCCTGAAGCTGAGAGCATGCCTGTCAATCCTCAAAGAGGCGACACCATTGAATCTCACTGCTCCTCAGCTTTTGCACTACCTGTAGGTGCCACACTCTCCGACTCCGACCGCGTCCAAGTCGTCGCCTCAAGACTCAAAACTTGCAGCAATAGCCCTACGTCATCCACGGCAGGCCAATGTGTCCTGTTCTTGACCATGTGCGTTCCACGATGTCATAAGGGCATATTTCATGTCTTCGTGGCACCCACTGAGCTTGTATTCATGTCGGGGCGCGTGGCCAAGAGATTTCGGTCACAGTGGCATGAGTCCAGTTCGTGACATCCCCATGTCTAGCGCTTGGTTCGGGCAGCGATACAAGGCTTTCGAGCTTTCACAGAGTCGATCCCCTCTTGCGATGAAGCTCCGGAAGCAGTTGTGGCGGTTCCGTGCCACACAAAGAGTTTTTGGAATGCCCTGACATCCCTTTGATTTGCCTGGTTGGGCTTTGGGCAATTTGATCTGCTCATCACTGTCCACCGTCAGCAGGAAACCCAAAACCTCCGTGACTGAGGGAGTGACAGCAGGAGTTGGTAAGTCATCCAGCGCAAGTGAACAGACGGGATGATCCCCAAGAAGTGTCCTATTGCCTTGTCTCGCTAGCATACCTGTACTAGCACGTTTTGTGCCTGCGGCGTGAGTTCTCGTGAATGACGCGGAGCGTGCACTTTTTTCAGCTCTTCAGCTCGCACGGTTCGCTGGAAGAAGGAACTGGCAAAGTGTGGTTGTTTAGCAAATTCGAGCCTATTGACTGAGATCGTATTCCACTCCTCCAGCAAGCGCGCGAGGGAACATGACGCCGGAGCCTCTGGAACGTCTGGGTAGGCGGTTATGTGCCACTCATGTTTGGATACATGCTGCGACATCAGGCTAGTGGTTTCCGCGGATGCGAGAGAAGCTGACAAGGCCGTTATTCACGTGTTGTTCTGCTGCAGATGCAGTAGCTAAGCCGTGAACAGTAACAGGCCATGTTCCTGTTCATTAAACTTGAGCTATGCTCTTTGCCGCGCAGGCTCAGCGAGAGCTCGCAGAAAAGCGCAAGGCCATGGAAGAAGGAAAGAGGCCGGCTGGATTTGCAGACGTTGGGAGTGTGCAACTTCGATCTCACGTTTCTACATCGGTTCGGCTCAAACTATGGACTACAAGGAACGGCGGGTGGCAAGCACAGATGCGTAGTACCGTAATCAGGACACAAGTGGAGAAGAGACGTGTGAGGAGTTGAACCTCCTCAACACCTCTAGCTTTTTCGCAAATGTTCTTCGCAAGGATCCTCGTTTGAGCCATGGCTACCTTGGGCTTCGGCCCTACGGAAGCCCTGGCCGCCTCAGGGGCACCCAGCCGCTGGCTGCGCGCGAGGCAAAAGATAAATCTGGCCAAGGCGCACCATGCGCTGGCAACTCGCTGGAGGCGCGTCCAGTCACATCGCCTGCAGGACTTCTACAAGACACCAGCAGAGGAGCGGCAGCTTGCAAGCCTCAATGCAGACACCAGGCTGAAACGGCATGCCAGAAGCTTCTAGTATTGCCAACGGGCATTGACCACGCCAACATCTCGCAGAAGCCAAGGTGCTGTGCAGCAAAGAGGAACTCGATGACCGAGTCAAGGCGGCAGAATCTTTAGCATCTCTGGCCCGCGGCGAGCGCATGGCTGGGGCCTCGGGCCGTGGACTTTCACTCTGGCTGTGGAGTCTTAAGTTCACCTGACAGCTTTTTTCTGTCCGAGTCCTGCTTCAGGCCTACGCCATTTGCGAGAACCTGGGCCCTTTGTTGCAATGATGCTCGGCTCGGGACGCACTCAGTATGACAATCAAACCAAGCTGTATGGAAATTTCAGAACGTCCCCTTCAGTAAAATGTAGAATGTAGAAGCTATCGAATTGAGGCCGCAGACTCGCATTGAGCAGACATGTCAAATCAGACTCGCAACATTGCAAGGCAAACCATATGTGTCAAAGCTGATCCTGCAAGCGTATTCACCACTCATGTACCTAAGGCGGAATCGTGAATGGAACTGTAATGTCACTATAATCTAGGGATAGGCTGCTAGCTCAAGAAGCCGATTGAGCATCCAGCTTTGGAATTGAACCTTCGCAAGCCATCGTTTAAAGGAGATGCGACACACCAGACAGCGCGCAAGACCCAAACAGGATTCGAACGTTTTGAGCCCAGTCGCAAGGGTCACCTCCGGTTAAGTTGCGACGAGACCTCCACAGTAACGGCATGTAGCCAGAATCACAAGATCAACAATAAAGGTGCAGGGCGTGCATGGTTTGCCTGCGGTTGCCCCATGCTAGGATTTGCGAAGTTTGAGAAGAGGCTCTCGGCCCACCGAATCCCACTGACAGTCTTGTTTCTGGTACTAAGGCTTGAAGACGAAAGAAGCTCCTCAGCTAAAGCTGGCGGTCCTTGGCACTCTCCGAGTGCTGGCCGAACGGGACCAAGCGGCGGCCGTGGCGCGGCATTGCTATGCCCTGCTGCCATGCCTGAGGGATGAGGACATCTTGGTGCAGCGGAAAGTTTCATCTTTGTACCGCGTATTGGCAGATGAGGGCCAAGCTGGTGTGGTTGCCCGAGATGTGGCCAGCATCATGCACTGCTTTGAAGCCACACAGGCCGTTAATGCCTCACTGATGGCACCGCTGGATGCATTGGCAGCTATCGCTTCAGCCGGTGAAGCACAGGCTGTTGCCCGAGTGGTGGAACGCTTATTGGCTGCCCTCCGCGACACTCGTCCAAAGATCCGTGCGACCACATGCAAGACGTTGGCGGCTATCGCTCGAGGTGGTGCGAAGGATCTACTTGGACACCTGGGTCTCATCGACACCGAGATTGCAGAATCGTGCATCTCGGGCGTGTCGCGGCAGCGATCGCGAACACAGCATTCCATCACAAGTCATGATCGTAGTGGTGTATGTCCAAAGAGTTTAAGATATTCGCCGGTGGGCCTGTTGTAACATTGTAGCTTGATACACAGCTCGAGCTGCAGTAAGCGATCATTGCACAATAGACAGTTCATGTGAACCATGGTAGAGTGTCTGCAAACTCTTCAAGCACGCCACAAGAACTTCAATCACGGCTACGGAGAAAGACGAATCAGTGCGCAGGAAAGGTGGAGGTCCCAGAATCATGGCCAATCATGCAGGTAGGCAGCAGCTGTAGCATCGTCCTCTTAAGACTCTGCTCATGACAACTCACAAGCTGTGACGACTTCGCGACTACGCCATAAGCTCCAAATTTCCAGGCCGTCCATCTGGAAGGTAGAGGTTCCCCGTGTTGTCTTGGTGATGCATGGGCACTTGATAATACCACTAACGTGGCTGAAAGGCAAAGAACATTGTGGTCTGGACATGTCTGGACTGCGGAGCCCCATGATACTTACTCCCAACAACCATTAGTTTCGAGCCAGTGAAGAAACAGTAGCGATCTAGCGAGGTTGGAAAGGAGCAAACAGCCCTGTTAGCCACAGGCCTCGGCCATCGGGGAGAAATTCGAAGCTTGAGGCTTGAACCCTTTTCGTCAGGTGACACTCTTCGAGATGCTGGCGCTGCTCTCCCTGGACGACGCAGATGCTGACGTTCGCTTAGCAGCTGCCGATGCACTGCGGTGCCTGCCTGAAGCCGAGCCCTGCGAGGAGACTGCGCACGAGAGGCTCCTCAACTTTTTGGCACCTATCATGTTTGATCACTCAGTTGACGACTTCGTCTAGTGTCTAGGCAGGCTGCATGCAGGAAGCAAGCTATAACTCGAGCTATGCTGTGTAGCCAGGAAACTGAAGAAAGGAAATCTTGAAAGAACAGGCAAAGTGTGCACAGATTGCGCAAAGCAATTGCACAGAGCAAGTAGCGGTAGCTTGTGTGATCGTCTAGTTTTTGAGCACAGTGCTGCCTGCGACGGCTGTCAGAATCTCAAGATACAGTAGAGCGAACTGTGTCGTCCAATATACAGAAACACGACACAGCTAAGGCGCAATCGCTACCCTGCGTTGGTCAACCGGCTGCAAAGGCCTATGTTTCAGATGATACGGTTCTGAATTCAGTCAGGATGTATGTCGCATTTGCGCTTTTGAGTCCGAAAAAAGGAACCGTGGCGTCGGTTGATTCTTGAGCTCAGAGAATCCATGACTAAAACTATGATGACGTCCAAGTCCATGGTCTCGTCCGTTTTGATATCAGAGAGCAGAGGCCCTGGTGAAGTTTGTGTTGCCAGAGCCTGTTGCTTTGTTCATTAGGTCGTCCGACGGGTCACTCCAGTGGGATGTCGAACCACACATGCCACAGGAAAACCAAGGCTTTGTGCACTTTCGGCTGCAGGGCTTTCCGGTTTTGGGAAAGGTGCTTCAGACCGGGGGTGTAGGGTCGTGCTGCAGGGCTTCAGGCTAAAACTTGAAGGTTGCGCTTTTGCTTGAGACACCTCGGAGCTTTTGGATGTTTTGTTCGACGACCTCCCGGCACCAGGTAGCACAGCGAAAATTGTCAGTGATGACATGAACATGGCAGAAGTATTCACGCAACGAGAAACAAACAGCTCAGAGAAAAAGCTATACTTCTGTGCATTCTGGGGGTTCAGCCTCTGCTTGACCTTGCGTCCAACACTGCAGGTGGGCGGGGACTCAGCCTGGAGAAGTGCAGAGCATCCTCTTGTCGGTGTTCTACCTTTCGAACGAAATGGAGGCATTCGATATTAAAAAAGCATCATGATGTCGTGTAGATCAGCTCATGTTCGTTTTATTTGGAAGTTGCCTTTGACCCTGACAGGCATGCGTAATCTGTCAGGAACCACTTCACTTGGCCGGCGGCCCCCAGGCCTTGCCGTGCGGGCATGTCTTTCACCGCCGGTGTGTGGCGCCCCGGCAGCACTGGTACACATCGCGTTAACAGATCTTGGGTTCCACAATGTTCCACACCTTCTGGTAGATCGATCTAAGCATGCAGACAGCCTGGGAAGTATAGTTTATTGCCTCAGGAAGATTGGTACAACTTCACGACGAAGTGCGGCCGAATACCGAACTGTCCTTTGTGTCGTACAAAGATGCCCCTTGTCGCTTTGCGTGACCCACCGCAACTTCCTTCCGTTCTCAGATGATATGAGATGATTGATTCTCGCAACATCGTAGTGGTAGGTTCGCATCTCTTGAAGAGATGCCTCACAAAACGTAGGCTTAGGAGTTTTTGGAGCTGGCTCTGCAGAGCAGACTCATGCTCACTGTATGGTACTCGCATGCGCATGCGAACACCGACATTCTAACCATTTCCTCTTATGATATGTCCTGGCACGTTGATTGGCCCTCTTGTGAGGGAAGTCAGGCAGCCTTACATAGTCAGGTCAGCTGTGCCAGCACGCGTTGACCACGAGCATGTACAGCTGCTGCGCCAGCAACCGGAGCAGAATGACAAATCCAGGGCCAACTGACATGTGCCGGCTGTGTTAGTGTGTTCTGAGGACTGTTTGCGCATACCGCCAGGCATATGCTGGCAAAGCTTACAAAGCAGATGCAGTTGTGCCTGGCCAAGCTACAGTGCCTTGTCTTGACTTCTCGCATGCATTGGGCGAATTCCTGCAAACTATGCACCCTGGGACTTTTCCTGGCATCCTTGGAGAAAATCGGCAGACAAGATAGTGCGGGGGGGGGGGGGGTTGCACAAGGAATCCAGACTTGGACGACAACGCGAAGGAGACTGGACCAGCATCAACAGAAGTAGTAGTGTTTAAGCAGCACTGCTTGTAATTTCACACAGGTTGCGAGACAGCGCTGGCCACTCGCCAGGAGAAGTACCAAGACATGATCACCTCGCTGAAAACGAACATGTCCAAATTAGGAAACGTGTAGATCCCTGACAGAGCTTGCCCTGGGAAGACGGCCTTTGTCTGATTGATCTCACACAAATAAAGGTGTTGAGTTCGCGAGTCTCTAAGCATTGTTGCATCGATGGTGTAGAGGAACCAGACGAAGGCAGAGGATCAGCTCACTGGGGCTTCCAAGCCTGCAAGGTTCACGATTAATGGGTTTCGGTGTGCAGGTCAAGGGCTTCAAGTTCAGGGTGTTCCCACTGCCTCGGTTTTGCGGCTGTGGCTGGATTGAACTGCAGTTGCATGGCAATCTTAACAGAAGCTTGTGCTCCGCCACAACACTGAAGCACAATGTACAAATCTGTACAAACCCCATTCTCATACAACAGCTGAGAGTTTCAACGCGCATCGTTATGAAAACTGATGCTTTGAGTTGCGCGGTGGACTGCAACATGTCGCTGCTCACCGGAATGCACTACTGGAGTTGGAAGACGCTTATCTCAAGCATGTTGCTTTCTTAGTTCCTCCAAGAGAAGTGGCAAAAAGCCATGGCACAGGCTAGAAAGGGAGGGTGTTGACCGAAATTTGTGGAGTGGTTTTACTTGATCCGCTTGTGACAGACTCCGAAGTGCCAGGTGTCAGAGTCCCTCAAGACTCAATCGCCTGGAACCTACTGTAAATATCCTGGATGCTGTCTGAGGCGTGTTGTATTCTCGGGATATTGTGAAGAGCGCATTTAGAGATGGGAGGTGTCAGACCGATGATGTTGCCCTGGTTTCGCACTACCCGGCCAATCTGCTGTTCGCTCAGGCACCACGTATTCTACTAGCGCTAGAGTTACTGGTAGTAAGGAGTAGCGGGTCGCAAGCACTGTAATCCCAAACCCTGACAGGAGTGGAGTGTGATACTCCGACACTCCCTTTGGCCCAAACCTTGACTTCCCTGACAAGCCTTGTGCAGGAGTTCCCTCTTATGCGAGTAGCTTGCCTGTGTAGCTGCAGCAGGACTGAAGAGTGGCTTGTAGCAAGGTGACGAAGGAGCATGGTAGACACAAGCCAAAGCAGCAAAGCCAGAACGTGGAATCCCGAATGTGCAGTGCTAGTCACTCGGGCGCGTCGTATCGTGCTGTGCCACCTTGAAGCTCTTCTGGGCTGCAGTCTGGTTGAAGGGTGCTCTTCTGATAGACATGTCCTTCCAGAGCTTCTATGTTAAACGTGTGACGTGATTCAAAATCTGACGCAGCTGGCAGGGTATGTTGAATACCACGTTGCTACAGCTGCAGCAGCCGCCTGCTCAACTTTGCCTTCCTGTGTGCAATGTCACTATCGTAGCAACACAAGCTCCTTTCACCGTTCGAGGGTAGAGCGGCAGATATCTCGCCTGCGCGAGTATGTCCTGGAGCACAGGCAAGCCGTCAGATTTGCAGAAAGAAAGCGCATCACGCCGAACCCGAAAGGCGACTGGAGGCTTGCGACAAGGACGTCCACCGCGGATGCTTCGGCATTAGCAGCGAGGCTGAGGCCAAGCAGAGAGCATGCGCAGGTGACATCAGGTGACCATTCGTGTTGTGTTTTGGTTTGCAGAGCTTTGCATCAGCATGCCTCCATGCAGGCAGTCGTTGCCGTGCCCTGGCGGCATCGGATCATCGCGCATCGTAGAGTTCTCTTGCCCCGTGCTTTCATCAAAACTACCAGCCGGGAGGCAGCCAGTGCTCTGTCTGCATACGCCGAGGCATGGTGTTCAGGTAGTGCTTCGTTGCAGCACAAGTCTTGCATGTGCGATTGAAGCGCCGGCGATAAGAGCACCAAGTCCAAGAACAAATATTCGAGCACTCTTGTTTAAGTTGGATAGAAACGTTGCTGTTCAAGGTTTATGTTTTTAGGGTCAGGGTGGTTGGGGTTCAGGGCTTTTAGATTTTGGGGTTTAGGCTTCCGGGAAGCTGGGTTTGGGGGTTTTTAGGTTTCAGGGTCTCGGGCTTTAAGGGTTCGTTGAGCGTTCAGGGTTAAGGCTTAGGCCACAGGGCTTGTTGGATTTTTTGGGTTCGCTGTCGCTCAGAATGCTTTGCTGACCTTGGGTTTTAGGGTCTTAGGGCTGAGGGTTTTAAGATTTGGTGATGTCAGGGCTAGTGCACGAAGCTTCCCCTTCATGACCCTGTTGGCGCGCGCGACTCCCCAGTGTTACTGCAGTGTTAAAATCCCCTGTTCTCCCTGACCAAGCTAGATGGACAGAGGGGGAGGGAAACAGCAGGCGGCACAACCGCAAGACAATGCAGCAGCAGGCCGGGTTGCAACACTTGGCTTGCCGCATTGGGGCTCGATGCTGTCGTAGCTGCCCACGTTCCACAGCATAATATGTCACATTGAACTTAGCGCCGACATTAAGCTGATGCAGTGGCAGCATGGCATCTCACACACACACACACACATCGACAACAAGAGTGTCCAGCCAAATTCCGCTAATTTCAGGCCAACCTGAAGTAACTATCCTCACGGCCTCACCCTTCCTTCTGTCCCTCCACACTTTTAGACATGGGAGTCTAAAGAGATCTCGCTGTTTCTACCTGCAGGGCAACCTGCAGAAGCTGCGCCGGAAGCAGCGCCAGCCGATGCTGCTGCAGCCCCCTGGCAACACGTTCAGTGCACGCTTCTTTGCCCTTTACTCGGAAGCTGCAGGCACAAAGGCCACTCCATCGACGGCGGCTGTCACTTCTCTTCAAGGCCACAAGAGCTGTCCCGTCGCCGACAAGTTATGCCGAAGTTCTGGACAGGTTGGCATGGTCATGATTCTTCTGGAGGTTAGGATGGGATGGTACTTCTTGTATATTCTGCTTGCTCCTTGGCTGTGAACCTAAGCCGGTAATGCCGTGCAGCCCCGGAGCTGTAAGTTGTTGTCGTGACGTCGATACCACCTGAGGCACTCGTCTACCTAGGCCAGAGATCCCTTTTGTCAGGCCTGAACAAAAAGCCGACCAGATCTTTGGCAGGTGGAATGTTCGACTCGTGGATAGAGTGGTTTCAGAACTTAGCAAATGCTCAAGCATGGCACTCAGAGTGAAGCAAAGGCCGACGGTGCCAGCTCTTGTTGCGCTTGCTGAGCTGAGCCGAGCAGGTCACTCTCGAGCACCAGCTGAATGCTCTGCGCAGGGAGCAGCAGGCGCTGTTGAGATCGCTCGAGACTCGCAGCACAACACAGAAGCCATCCGCTAGTCGCGAGGCAGCGGCAGCCAACGAAGCGGCAGCCGGCGAACCCGCGGAAGCTGCTGCTGGCGAGTCGTCCGAAGGCTATGGCAGCACTTCGTTGGAACTGTATTTTGGAAACCTGCGCCCTTGGCCAAGGCAGGACAGCACACCCTCCCGAGGCCGACTCGAGCAATGTGGGACACAGGCAGGTCCGGGAAAAAACAAGGGGTCACAGTTTCCCCCCTCCCCTGGCCCTGACCATCCATTGCACCTCTCGAGGCAAGCGGAAGGAGAAGCTGCACGGGAACACGGTGATGACAACACCGCACCGGATGTTCATCCCCTGGCCACCTGGACCTCGAGTCTCCCCCCCAAAGCCCAAAGCTGAGGCACCAGCAGATGCACCTGCGGCACCTGCAGCACCGCCGCCGCAGCAAGCCTGGACACGAACCAGTCTTTGAGCCAAAGTGTGGGTGCTTGTGCCAAAACAAGTACAAGGCCCTACTGGCAGAGATTTATCTACCAACTCTTCGCCGCAGACCCAGCTTGATCTTTGTCTTTGCCTGTCTTCATCGCGTTGTAATCACTTCTCCAAGTCTTCCCGCACTGCGTCAGGTCATGTTCTTCCTCACCCTCCTTCCATGGTGGAACCCAAACCCGCGGCAAGCAACCCAGCAAAGTGCACAGGGGGGAAGTGGGTAGTCACGGTACAAGCAGCGAAAGCATCGCAGTGCTTGGGCCACGAAGCCTGAGGTTCTTGTGAGGACGCCAGTTTCACCAGCACGGCGACAAAAGAAAAGGCAGGCATCGTCTCCTCCTGGAAGGAGCAAGGGCTGTTTTGATTGCGATTTTTGTTAGATTGCCGTTGTTTTCCGGAAGTGCGTCCGGCCAGCTAACTGGCTCGAGCTGCAAAGCAGTTGTTGAGCCATCTGTTCCATTATCGGTAAATAGCTGCACAGCAACTGAAGCTGTGAGGAGCTTTTCAATCCGTCAGCGCATCAACAACTGAAGGAGATCAGATCACTCCACGGTGTATTGACTGTGCTGTGCCCATAGATGACAGTTCATGTCGCCAGCTCGGGAGAGCGCAAGCGGTCAGCATCGCAGGCTTCAGCTGACCAAGCTTTGATTTGTTGGGTTCTGTGAAACATACTTGACGTTCAGTTCCTTTCAGAGGCATTCAGGTTGAACTCGCCGTATAGTTGCCTGTCTCAGCACAATGATGTCTTGCAGAGTTGAGACGATTACAACCGTTGGCGCAGGTCGCCTTCGTGAGAAAGAACAGAGAGAGAGAGAGAGAGAGAGAGAGAGAGATTCGTTTTCAGGACCGGAGTTTTTATGGGGTGGCAGTGGGGAACAGTACTCCAACTCGACGAGTGCAACTGGGGAGGACCAGGGCATGCTTCCATGAACGGCTGTTGTATGCACTAGGGAGGTGTTAAAACAGTGTTGCATGGCCGGGGCCTCAGTTTGTAGGTCGTAGTGCGCTGTTTCCACAGGGGGCAAGAAACCTTACAGTGATTAGCGCAGTGTGTTCGTGTTGCCGTTGCTTCTACCCTGTCTGGGGGCACAAAACGGAGCCTCGTGAGCTGTCAGTGCGGCAACAAGCTGCCAGTGAGAGCACAGAACAAGCAACAGCCTCAGCCAAAGATGAGGCGGGGGCGGTTTGAAACTAGTGTTACTACAGGGTCGGGGGATGGTGCCAGAGCAGACCCCCGCCTCATCAAGCGTTGCAGTTGCGAACCGGACTGAAGACCCAGTGCGCGCCCGCGCGCGGGGAGGGGGCTTGCGCGCTCTCCCTTAACTGTGCTGAAGAAGAGAGAGATTCGTTTGAGCCACCAGCAGGGCAGCATGCATTTCGTTGCATACAGTACTGCACCGCATGTAATATGGCACCTCAGGGTGCCCTCTCTCATCGCGAGCCGAAAGCTTCGTTTTCCTTAGTTGGTCTTTACCAGCTGTAATCCAGACAGGCCGCTGGAGCCTTCCCAAGTTCATTTCCGTAACATGGCGCCTCATGGTGCATCTGCATTTTCTACGGGCTCCCCTGCTTCTTTTAAGCTTCGAGCCCTGTGTTCCCCAGGGGACCTCCCCCGGAGACAACATGTCGAGGCAAGGAGTCGTTCCTGCATGGTGTGTTGTTCGGTGTCGGCTGTTGCTGCCCTTGTGATGCCCGACATGTTGAGCATTACGCCCATAACAGGCTGAACTAGGTAAGCTGTCCTTGCTAGTGGCGTGCTTAGCGGTCCTTGTTGCCCCAACCACCTCTCCTGTGCCCCCCCAAAGGCCCCTGGTCGTAGCCAAACAAGCCGAGGCAAGTCGTCGTTCCTGCATTGGTGTACCTTTCGGTGTCGATTGTTGCTGCCCTCGTCATGCCCGGCTCTGTAGCTTTTGCACAAGCCATGCCAGGATGAATAGGGTGAGCTGTCCTGTATCTTGAGCATGTCTACCTCTGTTTCGCACTCTAAATCTGCTCAACACCCTAGTATCTGCCCTGGCCTTTCGAGTCAACGCATGCGGCCCTCGAGCAGCCTGAAGCTTTTGTTATCTTTATTCCGGCTTGGATGCCGAGCTGCATCAGGGGAGGATGCAATCCCCCGTCGAAAAGAGGCGGATTGCACTTGCACTCACCAAGGCAGTCCGAGCAGTACCGTCGTTCTAGTCGCCTTTCTAGGGGTTTTACTTCCCTTGGTTTAGCTAGTGTTACTCCTCAATGAGCCAAATTGCCTTGGTTGAGCGAGTTTTCTTTCTCTACACGCCCCAGCACCAGTCGGGGGCGCCGGCGGCGCGCGGGCAAGGAGGGGAAACCCCTTTGCCCATAACCCTGCCGAAAGAAAGAGAGAGAGAGAGAGAGAGAGAGACATTTTGGCTCAAGCCGCGAGTGGTTCAAGACTCCGAGCCTTGAGGGAGACCAGAGAGGAGTCTCAACCCGGGCGTGAGAGAGAGAGAAAGCCCCCGCGCCGCAGAGGGAGGGGGCCATTCGAGATCGAGGGCAAGTTTGCAGATCTACGTGCCTTCGTTGAGGGGGTCCGGGACGCCGACATAGTCGGGAACGCTCCCGGCCGTGAACCGCTGCGCTCCGAGGCGTGAGGGGGAGAGTGTGTCCCGCTACTTCATAGGCATCGGCGGCCAACTTGTTGCCTTTGTCGGGGGTACGATCAGGGACTACTTGCAGGGGAGGCAAAGAACGCGGCGGGAGAGGTCGTGATACTACTTGCAGAACATCAAGAATGCAAACCATGCCTACAATGGGGGGGGCAGCCGGCCCCAGCAGAATGGAAGGGGTCGAAGGACCAGCCCCGCCGGACGCGGAACAGCTGGAGGCGAACAAGGGAGACCCAGGCTCGCCGCAGAAGAGGGGGAGGAAAGAGGAGCAGCAGCAACTTACCCTTGACATGCTGAAGGAGGTGCTGGCAGCAGAGCGGACGAAGGACAGGCAACACCTTGCTGACAGCCTCCACGAGGTCAAGGGGGACATGGACAAGATCCGCATGCGCGTGGATGCCGTGGAAGGGGGGGTCACACAACAGATGCACTCGACCCTCGCTATGCTCACGAAGATCACCAACAACTACGACGACCAGGCCAAGACGCTTTCTGAGCTCAAAATGGGGCAACAGAGCATGGAGGACCGCATTGCAGTGCTGGAGAAGCAGCCGATGGGGTCAGTACCCGCCAGCACGGCCGATACAGCCATGGGGGACGGGGGGCGCAAGCCCGCTATTATCATAGGGGGTTGGAACCCTGATCAGTTGGCAGCCGATACCCTGCAGGCGGCCAAAGACATCCTGAAGCAACTTGATGTGCCGCTCAATGCCGACTCCATGTTTGTTCCGGGGATCAGGCGGGGCTGCGCTATCTTGCCCATCGACCACAAGCCGCTTGAGTCGGAGGAGGCACGCCGCGCCAGAGTCCAGACCGCAATTCAGCGGGTGAGGAACGCGAACTTGTCGCTTGGCCAGCACGAGCAGGGGGGGCTCCGCAAATTATGGATCGCCATCAGTCAGAGTCCAGAGCGCCGCCGTAGGGCGAAACTAGCGGGGAAAGTGAAGCGTGTCATTTTGGAAATGGGGGGCGACCAGCGCGCCATGGACGTCGAGTTCGCCACCGGCACCGTATGGATGGGGGCACACAAGATTTCGAGCGCCACGGCGGAGCAGCCCAAAGACGCACAAAAGGCGGGGGCAGGCTGGATCGACCTCAAGCTGCTCGCCAAAGCCATGCGCAAGCCGCTGTCCGAGGTGGAGGACGCATGGCATCCGCGGCAAGCGGAGCTGCAGTGACTGACGAGACCTATCGCGGAACTGTTTCACCAAGGCGGGGACTTCAAGAGTTTACCGTCTACAACTCGCATTGCCTCGTGGAATGTGGGGGGACTCACGGCACAACAAGCGCTGGAGTTGCCTCTGCACTTTGTGGGGAACCGCGACCTGCATGCACTGAGCGTCCTTTTGCTCCAGGAAATAATTTGTGAAGAGGGAACTTGGTTTCATGAACACGAAGGGTGGGTCATCGTCTACGGCAAGGGCAAGGGGGACTGGAGAGGGGTTGGCATTGCGTACCAGGCGAAAGAGCGGAGACACACCAACACCAGGCTCCTCAAGGTGGGCATCGCAACGACCATCAGCAGCAGCAGAGGAAAGCAGGGCACCCGCTATTTATCGGGGCACATACCGCACCATGCCACAGTGGCGCAAACTGAAGAGATCATGCAATCCTGGGAGAGCACCATGCGCAAAGCTAAAGTGATTGTGGGCATGGACGCCAACGAGGAATTCACCGACAACGATGCCACAGGTCTGAGAACTCGCACGGCAAGGGGGGAAGCCATACTTGCGGCCGCGCTACCACAGGGGGTCGCAGCACCGCCACAACAGCTTGATGTCGCCTCGTACCACCCGTACAACACGCAGCAGCGCTCCAGGAGGCTCGACTACGTTCTGGTGCGGGGGCAACACTCAGAGAAAGGTGGGGTGATTGAAGGGAGTCGCCACATGGCACGTTCAGATCACGACCTCGTGTGGATACAACTGGCCACCGTCCCCATCCCGAGCAAGGCCAAACCGACCTGGGGGGCACGCAGGTTCAAGCCCCACACGGACATCAACGCCATGGTGGGGGCCCCGCTGAAGCAGGAGGACACCCATGCGGCCATCAGCCGCATGGCCCAGTAGGCCACGGTGCAGGGCAAGTACACCAGCAAGTTCGTGGAGAGTGCAGCGCTGAAGATGGCACGGCAACAGGCACACAGAGCGCCGCCACAGGACGCCAGAGCTGCGTGGAAACAAGTCAACCGCCTGCGCAAGCAAGAGCTCCGGGCGTGGCACAACAACCTAGTGGTGCGTGCAAGCCAAATTGACTGGTACGCGTATCGCACGCTCAGCCACCACCAGCGGCGAGACGGGTGGCATCACAAACTGGTAGACGAGGGGGACTGGAAGCAGAAGATGAAGGCCCACTTCGAGGGGATCTTTGCTAAGGCACCAAAAGCACGCACTGCCCGCCAACTGGGGGACACCAGGAAAGCGCTTACAGCCCTCTGCAAAGTCACCAAATGGAGGCCGTTCACGCTAGATGAGCTGAAAGTGGCGACTGTCAAATGGAAGTCGGGGAAATCGACGGGGCCAGACGCCATCACCCATGAGATTTTGCGCTACCTTCTCAACGACGACAGATGGGGGGGCAGACTTGCGCACATGATGAGTGATTTCCTCTATAAGGGGGAACTCCCGGAAGGCGTCCTCAAAGGCATCACGGTCCTCCTACCGAAGACCCTGGAGGACCCGACATCATGGGGGGATACGCGACCCATCACACTTTCCTCGTCGGTGCTCAAGTGGTTCTCACAGCTTCTCCTCAAACGATGTGGGGCAAGATCCAGGACGGGGCCCCCTACCAGTGGGCGAGCAGGGGCAAGCAGGCCCCAGAGCTCCTGGTGATCCTACGCAGAGTGGTGAGGATGGCGAAAGAGTGGGGGACACCTACGTGGGTCATCAAGTTGGACGTGCGCAAGGCGTTCGACAGTGTCTGGCAAGAATCCATGGGCGACCTAGTGGCAAGGCGGGTCGGGGGGTTGCGTGCTGGCGGAGGGGGGAACACCGGGGGGGGAGCCTTGGGAGGCACGTGCTTGGCTTGCATTGCTTGAAGCGCGGGAGCTGAATGTAGCGGTTGCCGACGATGTTGTCAGAGTGCCACAAACAAACGGAGTGAGGCAGGGCTCCCCCGATAGCCCGGTGTTGTTTAGCCGAATTATCGCCGACGACCTTCAGAGGGCACTCCGCGACGCCCAACCCCTCCTGGGGGACAACCGGGGGCCTCCCCCCCCGCATTCCGGGGGGGCATTTATGGATGACACATATCTCTGGGGCTACAGCAAAGAGCACCTGCAATACGCGCTGTCAAGTCTTGAAAGGCGGTTGGCATCGCACGGATTGGCGATAAACCCGGCAAAAACCGCGATCATCCATAGCCACCCACAAGGAGGGGGCACCTTCCTCATCGGGGGGGAACAGGTGGCCTGCCTCCCCCACGGGTCCGTGATCACAGCCCTGGGGTCACCCGTGACGTTCGGGGACACAGTACCAGTCCTGATCTCCGAAATGCAGCATCGAGCGCGCAAGGCGTTTCACAAAAACGCCAAGTTGCTATGCTCCCCCACACCGCTGAAGGCCCGGCTGAAGCTGCACCAAACCCTAGTTCGGGGGGCTGCGCTATGGGGGGGGCAATCCTGGCCAGTCACGGACGCCATCATGCGAGCAATCAACAGCACGCAACTGCAGCAGATCCGAAGGATGATGCACCCGGGGCGTAAGCCGGGGGAGACATGGGCTGAATGGAACGTACGCACACTGCGGGGGGCAAGGGTGGCATTGCAGCAGTCGAAAGTCGTGCGTTGGAGCTCCTTTCAGTTGCAGCACACGTGGGAGCTCTATGGACACATGGCACGCTCCAAGCATGGGGGGAGGGACATGCTACAGTGGCGTAATTTGAAGTGGTGGGAAGCAGAAAAGAACAAACCCAAGAGCCAGCGAGCAACACACGCACACAGGTACAACCCGTTCGTCGACACAGAGAGACAGATCGTGCAGGTAGCCACACTCGAGTGGATGGACAAAGCATGCAACATGCCAGTCTGGTCCGCACTAGCAGCAGAGTTCGTGAGACAGTTTGACGTGCCGTGGGCAACAGGCAAGCAGCCCAGCATCCAGAACCTTGTTCCTAACATGTCTACTGGCAATAGGGGGGCACGCGTAGCGAGTGAAGCCGAAGAGCTGACAGCTGAGCATGCCCAGCACCGTGCCATTCAGGGGGACCGCTAGCCGACTTGCCTGAAGCCGAAACATCCTGCACTCGCCTCAGTTTGCAGTGCTCAAGCTTTCAGAGGAACGCAGACTGAGAGCAGCATGCACTGGCACCAGCTGGCACTACTTTCACTGGCTTTCTGGCAGAGCCGAGCGTCGGTTCAGAAGCCCAGGCCCACGACACCACCACGAGCACAAGCCGAACAGCGACAGCCACAGCAGCATCCCGCGGAGGGGGCCCAGCCACAGCACAGCCACAACGCAGCGGGGCCACTGCCGCCAGCGGAGGCACACAGCACAGCACACGCTCCGGACCAGCAGCAGACAGAGGCAAGCACCAGCCTGGACGCCGCTGCACCACAACAGCAACAGCAGCTGCACAGGGGGTCCCCGCAGCCAAGCCGACCACGACGACCCACGCAGGGGCAAGCAGGACCACTCCCCCCTGCAGCCGGCCAGCCACCACAGCCTCCGCAAGCACCAACAAGCACGTGCAGCAGCAGCAGCAGCAGCAGCGGCGAAGACAGTTCATGCCGTGCCACAGAGGAGGCAGACCCATGGGGGGCGTGGAAGCCGGCACACGACGAGCCACCGGAAGACACAGACGCCGTGGACGACCTCGCCACACAGCACCGGCCAGCAGCAACCAACCAGCGGGGGTACGGCCTCAGTTACTACCCACCACCGAAGGCAACGACTGCACCAGCAACCGGAGGAGGTGACACAACCCTCCCAACCAGGACAGGGGGGCCCAGAACAGACCCGCCCATCCGCAACCGCTGGGGTCGGGCCCTAGCACCGTTACCAGGCCATACCGCGGCAACCTTGGAACAACGCAACCAGCCGATGCAACACACCCGCGACGGGGACAACAGCAGAAGCACCGGCAGCAGCCAAAACCGCCAGCCGCAGGAGCAACAGCAGCAGCGAGGAGCCACAGCTGGGGCCTGGCAAGCATCAGGGACCCAACCCCAGCAGCGCCACGCGGGCACAACCCGACACGGGCACAGCCAAAGCCTCGACCACGACCAGAGGCCAAACCAGCAAGCCGGCGAGCCAGTGCAGGCAGTACAACAGGACATACAGCAACATCCGCCACCGAGCGGCAACAGCCACGCTCACGCAACCACCGCAGCGGCACACGACCGGCCCCCGCCGCCATGGGAGGCACCAGCAGGGTGGCGGCGAAACCCACCCCCGGGGGACACAGGGGCGGCCCACACAGCTACCCACCGACAGGAGAGGACACCAGACGGAACACGACAACAGCACCCAGCAGCGGCCATCGCAGAGTGGCAGCAGCCACACACAGGCAACCCATGCAGCCTCGCACGACCAACCCCCACCACCATGGGAGGCCTCAGCAGGGTGGCGGCGAAGCCCACCCCCGGGGAGCACAGGGGAGGCCCACACAACCACCCATCATCAGGGGGGAGCACAGGACAGTGCGCAACAACAACAGCAACCATCGGCAGCCGCAGCAGCAGCAGTAGCCGAACTCGAAGAGGTAGACCAGCCAGGCACAGGGTCAGCCGGGGGACCAGAGGCCAAACGCCCCTACCACGAGGGGGCAGGAGACCAGAGGATGCGGGGGAAACGATACAAGGCTGCTGTGCAGCTCTTTTACAAACAGCGAGGCTGGGTCAAACAAGACCACCAACACTGGCGGGACTTAGGTCCTGCCGTCGGCTTGCATGAGGAGGATAGCGAAAGCGAGTGGGACAGGGTGCTCGCACGAGAAAGGCCTCGGAGGTGGAAGCAGCCGGCGACGCCAGCCACCCCCACCGACTGGGGGGACCTCCTGAACAGGCACCTCCTCCCCCGCGAAGGGGAACAGCAAGCAGCCCAACCCGCAGCAGCAGACCAAGGGGGGCAGACCCAGCCACAACAACAAGAACAGCCGGCAGCAGCAAGCAAGCCACCGCGGCGCCAACAGACGGCAGCAGGGGGAAGCGGAGGACCCAGCGACCGCCGACGAACACCCGCCCCAGCCACCACAACAGCGGCAGAAGAAGACAGCACTATGGAGGGGAACTTCAACCACCTCATCCTCAGCCAAGGGAGGGGACAGCGACCCGCCACAGCCCCACCTGAGTTACCAGTCGGCAGGGGGGTCACGCTCCACATGAGGTCGGGGCCCTTCGGCATTTGGGCAGCAATCACCACGCACTCACAAGCCACATTTGCAGCTGACTACGGCCCCCAACCAGCACGCAGCTACACCAGAGCCCGACAAACACTGCGCGACTCCGAACCAGTCCCTGACGCCTACATCGGGGTCAACACAGCGTTTGCCCTCTTCCCTTGGGGGGAAATACAGCACGGGGCGCCAGAAAAGTTCCTCATGTGGGTCACCGCCACAGGGGGGCAACGAGACCCAGATGGAGCCGACATGCACCCCGGCGATGCCTATCTCCTTGAATGGGATAGGGGGGAGCAACGGTGGCGCCCAGGCAACCTTCCACGCAAGGTCGCACAGCAGTACTACTACGACTGGGGGAGACACAGGGGCACGCCTGCCATCACCCGCCCACCACCCAATGGAGCAACATATCCCCTAGGGCAGTGGGAACAGATGGCCCTCAATCTCATCCCGAGACCTTACACCATGGGGGGGCAGGCAAGCAGCAGCAGCGGGGCACCCTCCACGTCGCAACCACAGCCATCCCCCGCCTTGGCCCCAGCACCGGCCCAGCAGCGACGACGAGACACAGAAGCCGACCAGCCGTCTCTCATGCAGCAACAAGTAGCCCAGACACAACTCGACGATACAATAGGGCAGCCTAGCCGAGCCCCCGAAGCTACAGGGAGCCATGGGCCGTCGCCAGCGGGGGCACCGCCGGAAGAGGTGGCCAGGATGCTGCGATGGCTGAGAGAGTTGGCGCTTTGGGCCACCGAACAGCGATTGCCCATGCAGCTGCGATACGAACTTGAGTCTGCCATGGCCGTCTTGGGGGACTGCCTACACCATGCGCGCCTGCAGCATGGTACAGACCCACTAAGGGGGGTCAAAAGAAAGCAGACGAACCAGGTCAGCGAGGCCAAGCTACGACTCCTGGACATCTGCGAGGGGTGGGACGACGAAGAGCCCAACCAGCACCAAATCTATGAGGACCTGAACGTGATCAAAAAGATGCTCAAGGAGGGGGAGCAGCAGTTCTACCTCAGCACACAGCGCCAAGGGAGGGCTCTCCTCAGACAAGGGGGAGAGGGCCTCCAACAGGCGCAGCAAGCCGTGGAGCGCGCACAGACCTCCACAGTCCAGGGGGACCTGGATTGGTGTACAGCCGGCTGAGGCCATCGCAGAGAACGACGAGCTGCAGTACGTTCACCAGGCCGATGCTGTGGGCCTCAGTCAAGGGGGCCAAGAATGCCCAAGCCGTCCTCCCGAGCCAGACCGCTGCTTGGAAGCCATATTGGGGGACATCAGGGCAGCGCTGGGGTTCCTCACAGCTGGGCCACATGGACAAGTGCTCAACGTGCTGGCCGCGATGGCGATGTGGCAGTCACAGCAGGCTGCGTACATGGTGGAAACGCAAACTACAGACGGGGGAGACGAGCCGCCAGCACTGCCGCTGGCCGGGCGCAACCGCACCAGGACCGATGGACTCCCCTGCCGGGGGCAGCACAGTGGTCGGGGAGCATACCGAGCCCGGCGGACGAGATGGCCGCCGACCGCAGCACCGAGGAAGGGGGGCCAACCGACGAAGACCTTCTGCAAGCCATGGAAGAGTTTGAAAGACGACAAGCCGAAGACGACCTAGCAGCCGCTGCAGAACAAGGGGAAACCTCACTGTTCTCCCGAAGACGAACTGAAGAAGGGGGCACTGAAAGCCACAGGCGACGTAGATTGCATGCAGGGGAGCCGTGAGACATCCAGCGTTGTAGTGCAAGTTCTTTTCTTTGGTTGGGGGTCTAGGGCACTCAGTCTCAAACAGGCGAACCCAGCTTGCAAGTTGCAGTTTTGAGGGGGCACAAGGGCATGTGAGTGATGATGCATGGTAGGCATGTTTTGGCAGTCAGCTGTGTGCATGAGTTTGCGGTGATGTGTGTTGTGCAAGCAGTCCAGAGCCCGGCCAGTGCCTCAGAGTGTACAGCGCAGGACAGTTCCTTTGGGGGAAACGAGGTAGCTAGAGCAAGGGGGTACCAGCTGTGTTTAGAGACTACAGTATAGGACCAAAGGAATGATGCAGTCGGCCAGTTCCGTGCAAGCCTTCAGGGGGTCATGCATGTGCAGTCTTGGAGTTGCTTTGTGTTCTGGTTGGTGAGGGGGTTGCCGGGACATTTAGAGTTGTCGTGGCAGCAATAAGCTGCAAGATGGCAACCGGGCCATGTTTCAGCCACAGAGATGAGGCCGGGGGGTTACTGGTGTTCAAGGAAGTTAGTGGGGGTGGCGAGCTCGCAAACGCCGGCCTCATCGAAAAGTCAACTTTCACCAACGGCAAAGACCCAGTGCGCGCCCGCGC